TTTTTTTCCTCTAGTTTTTCAGATTGAGAAAAATCAAGTGTGTCCTTTCCTTTTGGAAACCAAATAATTTCCCATAATGCTCAATATTTAGCACTTGAGTTCAGAAAGATCAAGTGGCATAGGTAGTCCACGTGAAGTTGCACTGCTAACTCAAAGGTGTAAAATTGCCTCTCTGGCAATCCAACAGCAGTTCTGTGGCAGAAAAACAGACAATCTCCTATTGTTTGATTTACAGCTTCAGAAAATTTGCTGAAGGGTCAGCTATGAGTTAGTTTCAACTTAATGACATGAATAGTTGTAGCAACACTTGAGTTCAGTCATGTGCCTTGCCAGACCTGAAAGTGCAGGAAGGAAAAGTGTGCAGCAATGAATGAATGGAAACCCAAAGTCTCTATAAACGTTTATGTAAAAAAAAAAAATAAATTCTATTACAAAAAAAAGAGAGAAAGTGTGCAATTCTAACGCCATAATTTAGGAATAGCTCAGTGTTGTCTTCACAAGCCTCTGCTTCCCTTCCATCTCTGTTGTCACTGCTTTGCTGTCTCTGTCTCACCCAGTCTCTTGTCTCAGATTTCCGGAGGAATCTCTGGCCCAAAGATTGAGCTGTACTTTGCTTCATGCTTGATGGTAGTGACATTTCTTTTTCCTGCCTCTGAATCTGCTCTGAATTTTAGTCTGGCAGAATGACAAAACTGATGAATCACCATATTCTACACAACTTATTTTCATGTTTCCACCCAAAAGTTGTCATTTACCTCACTTATATTATTAGTTGACTATCCAGCCTCCTTGGTGGGCCAGAAACATAAAACATTTGTTGTAACATGAGATTTGACTAGAAATCTCACTCACTATGGTTAGGAAATCCATATTGAAAAATCACTCTAGCAGATAGAAGACAGTCCTGGAAGTCTGTTTCTATAAATATAATAGTTAATAGAACCCTAGGAAGTGGTTCTACTATGTAACACATGAGACTGTCATGAAAGAGAATATACCTGACAGCAAAGAGCTTGCTTTTATTTTGGTTTAGGTTAGATTAAGAAGCTAATGAAGATTTTGTATCTGGTGATGCAGGCTACATTAAATTGTGCTAACCAAGGTATCGAGATATTAGCAATTGTTTGGGAGAAAAATGAGTTGTTGTTGTTGTTGTTCTTGTTGTTCTTGTTGTTGTTATTGTTATGTGTCTTCAAGTCACCTGCAACCCATAGTGGCCCTATGTATAGCAGCTCTGAACTCTGTCCCGTCCTGAGCCAACTCAGGTCTATTTCCAGCTCTCCAACCTCCATTGCCCCAGTCACTGTATCACTCCAACTCATTTGAAGTCTTCCTCTCCTGCAGTGTCCCTGCACCCTTCCAAGCATGATGTTCTTCTTCAAGGACTGTTCTCTCCTGGCCACATGCCCAAAGTAAGTGAGGTGGAGCTTCAAAATCCTAGCCTCAAAGGAAAGACTTGGTTTCATCCTCTCCAAGAAAGACATGTTTGTTTTCTTGGCAGTGCAGCACGAAAATTTGAAGGCATCAATCCTTTTGTCATAGTTAGTTGTTGTCTAGCTCTCTGATGCATAGCAAGTAATTGTGAAGATCATGGTCTCAATTAGCCGCACTTTAGTCTCCAAGGGAGAAAGATGGTTAATCTCCCATGCAATTTATAGTCTCTGAAAACCCTCTGAAGAATCAGGTAGAAATCAGTTTTGACTATACAATGAGGTTTTTTAGCTATGTCTGTATAATGATCACTTGTATCTACAAGAAAGCAGAAACATCACCCTGAAAGAAGAAGATCTGAAATTTGTTACCAAATTTGGTTTACAGTAGAATGAGCCAAATTGCTGCCTTAAAGAAAAACTTTTCTAGAAACAAGAAAATCATATGTAAAACAGGGTCCACAGTGTCTTCTGCATATTTATCTTTGGACCCATATAAGCAGAAGTCACCATCTTAGAACTTTGTTAATGAAGAAATTGATTTCTTAACTCTGATAATTAACAATTCATGCAAAAAAAATCAGAGAATAGCAGATTTATGTTTAGTGTTTCATTGACTATATAACAGAATTAAGGTTGCATAGTGAAGTGCATTCAGGGTGGGGGGACTGTATACCAATGAAGAAGTTTATCTTTGGCTTTTCAAAGAGAGGAGTGAACTGGGGGAGGCAGGGTAGAGAAAAAAGTGCAACAATGAATGAATGGAAATCCAAAATCTCTGTAAATGTTCATTAAAATTAATAAAATAAAATTAAAAAATAAATAAATAGTTGCATACAGAAAAAAAAGGCATTTGACTATGTGAAGCATAATAAAATATGAGTAATATTGTAAAGAATAGAAATTCTAGAGCATTTATAAATGGACCAAGAACTGGTCCTTCAAATAGAACAGGAGACTATGTCATGGTTTAAAATCAATTAAGGTTTGCCTCAGGATTATATACTTTTGCTATATTCATTTAGTCGATTTGCTGAGCAAATAATCTGAGACACTTGACTGTATGAAGAGGAATCAGGTTTAGATGAAGACTCAATGACAACTCAATATACAGATGAGCTCAAGAAGGGTAGTCTGGCCCAAAGATGGCACCCCAAATCCACCAGCACCTCATGAGAGACAGATAGACAGTCTCCTCCCATGTGATTTCCAGCCTCCAAAAATCTACTGTGTGGTCAGCTATGACTTGGCTCTGACTTCATGACAATGAAGTTGAGGTTTTGGGTTTGATATACAGACAGCACAATCTTGCTTACTTGCTGAGTGAAAAACATTTGATAAACATCCAAGACTACAGACTCCAGTGCAGATTACACTTTAATGAAAGAAAGCAAAAATCCTCACAATCAGACTCAGAAGCAATGTCTTGATAAACGGAGGAAAGATTGAAGTTGTCAAGGATTTTATTTTCTTGTATCCATGATCACTGATCATGAAAACAGCAGAAAATACATCAAATGATAAATTGCCTTAGACAAATCAGCTACAAAAGATCTCTTTAAAGTCTTAACAAGCAAAGATGTCACTTTGAGCACTAAGGTAGGTCCATTTCAAGCCATGGCACTTTCAATCACATCACATACACATGTGAACTTAGAAAATGAGTAAGGAACACTGAAGAACTGATGCACTTGAATTATAGAGTTGGCAAAAAATATTGAAATACTCTGATTGCCAGAAGAAAAAGAAATAACTCTTAAGAAAAGTATGATCATAATAACCCTTAGAAGTAGGAGTTGTGAAGCTTTATTTCAGATTTTTGACATGTTATCGTGGGGAAAGAACAATCCTTGTAGAGGGACAATATACTTGGTAAAGTAGAGGATCAGAGATAAATAGGAGGATCCAGAGTGAAATGGGTTGACAAAGTAACGGCAGCAATGATATTTAAGCATAGAAACAATTTGAGGCTGTACAAGACTAAGCTGTTTTGCATTGTACTGACATTGCTTGGAACTAACTTAGCAACACCAAACAGCAATAATGTCACTGTGACTACATTGGAAATGTTCTAATTGAGCATACTGAATTGATGAAATATATGCCATTTTCATTCACATTAAAATAAATCGGGGAAAATGGGTGGATCAAATATAGAAAAATGTTAACTGTGATACGTGTATAAGTTATTCAATTTTTCAGTCATATTGTTCTTTCTAATTTTCCATGTATCTCTAAAATTATCATGATAAGAAACTAGAAATAAGAGAGAGAAAATAAATGAGACTATTACTCTAATAAGACAGACATAGCAAAGAGATATCGAGGTACAGGATAATGGAGAAAAGATGATCACTCAATTATGTAGGTTTCTTTGAACCACATTGCTAAAACAAAGCAGAGCTGGCCACCACAGAGACCATGAAAATGATTATACTAATAGAAGTTATGAGCACAAATTAGGTATTTCTAGATTCTGATCTTCCATTAAGTAAAAATAACCTTGGTAAAATTGCAGATAAATGTATTTTTGCTGAAAAAGTTAGGCTAAAATAACTTGTGTTTTATTCTAAGAGAACCTAACAACAGCCTATAACCATTACAATGAGACACTAACTAGTGTGTTTGATGCTATTTTCTTTTCTTTTGCAGAGCAGTAGAATCTGGTAACCAAAGCAGAAGTTTGAAGCCATGGATGATTGTCCTTCTTCTTGCATTATTATTAACAGTGGTGGCAGTAGTCTTTGGTCTTCTGAATCAGTTCATAGCCTCTGGTAGGTAAATTTAAAGATTTACTGTAATTTGATTTCAATTTCTTCAAGGTTTTATTTGCATATAAAAAGCATGGTTGCATACTTTTGCTTTTCCCTATAAATGACATCATTCTGGATTTTTCTCATTTATTGATTATTATCATTTTTTAAAATAATGAATGCTTACTCTCTACTGAGTAATTTTTTTACTATTGGTGGTGTCGTATTATTACTTATATTTTAAAAGGTGTTATTTAACAAAAACTTTAAGCATTTTATAAATCCATATTATATTTTCTCCTTCTTCATAGAATTTGTTTAATTCACCAAGTCGTTCCGAATTTTGTCATTTTCTGACTCTAGGGAGCTGTGCTGTACACCCAAGGCTACTCCTCTCTGGCGTTTCAAATCTACAAGTCTCTCCACAACAGAAATAGGGACAGTACACTTCAATGTGATTTAAAACCTCTGAAAACCCGCTGTGAGGATCAGCTATGACAATGAGCTTATGATTCGAAGACAATGAGTTTGCATTTTTGAGCTTTAGTTATAGATGTCCTTACTTTGTCACTAATTTGATATTCAGCCCATAATTTGCTGTTTTCCCATCTGTCTGTTTGATTCATATTATTGCTTTTTTAATACCTTTATTATTATTCTCATCTAATACTAACATTTTAATGGAAGTCTGGAGACTTACTAGTAAGAAACTACACTGCAATTTCAAAAGTATGTGGTTCAAATCCACCAGCTCTGCTGCTTCATGGGAGAAGGATAGGCAATCTCTTTCCATGTGATTTACTACCTCTTGAAACTGGCTGGAGAGTCAACTAGAGTCAGTTCCAACTCAGTGGCACATAAGAACAATAATCTTAACATTGGAGTTGTGGTATTGAAGAAGATTGCTGAATCCCCCATAGACTGTTAAAAGAATAAACAAATATATCTTGGAGAAAGTAAAACCAGAGTGCTCCTGATAGGCAAGGGTGGTTGCTAGGATAGGCTATTTAGAAAGGGACATCATGTTTGGAAATGTGGAGAGTCAGTGAAAGAGAGGAAGAACCTCAATGAGATCGGTTGACATGATGAATACAGCGACGGACTCAAGTGTGTCAGAGATGATGAAGACGGCACAGGATGAGGCAGGGTTCAGATCTTTTTGTACAAAGGGTTGCTATGAGTTGTACTTGATTTGATGGCTCTTGACAACAATCTTAAATATGGTGAGTATAGGTAAACACATCTGAACATATGCCGCTTAAAAGAAAACAGCACTGAAGACAGCAACAACCCAACTGTGATATTCATCTTAATCTGCCAAATTATTTTATTATAATCCCTAACCACGGCACACAAAGGAATAAAACAGCTGCTCAGCAGTGCTCTGGCTATTCTTGATACATCATAACACAAAGCAAACTACGTCTGCATAGAGCTCATTATCTAGTATCATCTGCAAGTCTACATAGACTAAGCAGTGATTGTTTGAAATTTACTTTGTAACAGATCTGAAGCTTACCCTATAATATACCATCCTCACAGTCTCCAACATGTGGGAGCTCATTCTGATATGCACTGTGGCAGTGCATCTTATTGAGGGTCTTCTCTTTCTCTGACTTTCCACGTGTACTAGCATGGTGGGTTTTTTTCCCCTAAGCTCTGACCCCAAAGTATGTGAGATCAAGTTTTACCAGTCTTTCCTCTAAAAAGCAACCTTCTTGCATTTCTTTAAAGAAAGTTATTCTTATTCATTTGATAATCGATGAATGCTTTATTTGCCAACAACACAATTGAAAGGAATCAATTCTTCTTTGATCATGAGGAAGGAATTTAAAATTTGATGATCTGGATCAGGTGTACTTGAAACTTTAAACTAACATTCTTGCACTTTAGCACTTAGGAAAAGTCTTTGACAGTAGATTTTTCCCATTGCAGCACATATTTTGATTTTTTGACTGCTTGTGTTAAGAAGAAATTGGAACGCATAAATATTGACATACTAGGGATTGGTAAAATGAGGTGGACTGACATGGGACATTTTGAGTCAGATGATCATGTTGGAGATGAAAAGATGAGGAAAAAATGGGGTTGCTTTCATAGTTAAAAAAGGCATTTCTAGATCCATCTTGAAATACAATGTTGTGGGTGACAGGATAAAATCTATATGCGTTACAAGGAAGTCCAGTGAATACCACCATGATTCAAATATGTGCACAAACAACCAGAGCCAAAGAGGAGGAAATAGAAGATTTCTACCAACTTTTTCAGTCAGAGATTAATTGAACATGCAATCAAAATGCAGTAATAATAATGGGTGACTGAAATGCAAAAGTTAGAAATAGAGAAGAAGGATCAGCAACTAGAAAACATGGATTTGGTGACAGAAATGAAGCTGGAGAGAGAATGATAGAATTTTCCACAAAAACTTATTTATTGCAAATATATTTTATAAGAAACTTAGACAGGCTATGTTGTTGTTGTTGTTATATGCTGTCGAGTCGCTTGAAACTCACAGCGACCCTATGTACAACAGCCCTAAACTCTGCTCTGTCCTGTGCCAATTGCACTGTCTCTGACACTCCCATTCTGATTATCCCAGTCACTGAATCAATCCACCTCACAGAGGGCCTTCCCGTCCTGCGCTGTCCCTCCAACCTCCCAAGCATGATGTTCTTCTCCAAGGACCGGTCTCTCCTCACAACATGTCCAAAGTATGTTAGACGGAGCCTCAGAATCCTTGCCTCCAAGGAGCCACCTGGTTTAACCCTTTCCAGGACGAATCTGTTTGTTTTCCTAGCAGTCCATGGTATTCTCAATACTCTTCTCCAGCACCACAGCTCAAAGGCATCAATTCTCCTTCTATCCTCCTTGGTCATTGCCAAACTCTCTGATGCATAACAAGTGATTACGAAGACCATGGCCTGTATCAGATGCACCTTAGTCTCCAGGGAGACACCATTGCTCTTCAGTACTCTGGAGAGGTCCCTAACAGCAAACTTTCCCATGGCAATGCACCTTTTAATTTCCTGGCTACTGGTGCCAAGAGTGTTGACTGTGGAGCCAAGCAAACTAAAGCTGTGTACAATCTCAATCTCTTCACCATCCATCCTGATGCCGCCAATTGGTCCAGTGGTGAGACAGGCTATACACATGGATTTCACCTGATGGTATGCATAAGAATCAGATAGATTACATCTGTGGAAAGAACGGCTGGAGAAGCCCATTATCAGGTGTGAAAACTAGGCCAGGTGCTGATTGTAGAACAGACCGCCATATGCAAGTTGAAGACTACTCATATGCAAGTTGAAGCTGGAGCTGAGGAAAATTAAATCAAGTCCACAGGAACCAAAATTGCTCTTGAGTCTACCCCACATGAATTTCAAAACCATCTCAGAACAGGTTTGAGGCCTTGAACATTAATGAGCCGAGACCGGATGATCTGTGGGAGGATATCAAGAATATCATGCAGGAAGAATGCAAAGGGTCATTACAAGACAGAGGAGAAAGAAAAGCCCATAATAGATGCCAGAAGAAACTAACTATTGCACTGGATCACCAACAAGCTAAAGCAAAGGAAAGAAATCAAGATATTAAGGAGTTGAATAGAAGATTCCAGAGATCAGTGAGGGAAGACAAAGTATTACAATTAAATGTGCAAGAAGCTGGAGTCAGAAAAACAAAAGGGCCGAATTTGCTCAACATTTCTTAAGCAGAAGGACCTGAAGAACAAATTCAAACCTCAAGTTGCAATACTTAAGGATGCTTTGGGCAGAAGATTAAATGATCCAGGAAGCATTAAAAGAAGATGGAAAGAGTATATAGAGTGATATAACCAAAAGGAATTGATGGACACAGAAGAATTTCATGAACCAACATATAAGGAAGAGCCTGGGGTGACAAAAAAAGAAGTTTAAGCTGCTCTGAAAGAACTGGCCAAAACATGTCCCCAGGAATTGATGGGATAGCAATTGACATATTTCTACAAACAGATGATGCCCTGGATTTGCATACCAAGTTGTGTCAAAAAAAAAAAGGAGGACAATCACCTGACCAACTGACTGGAAGAGATCTATATTTGTCACCATTCCAAAAAAAAGTGATCCAACAGAGTGTGGAAATTATTGAACAGTATCACTTGATATCACATGCAAGCAAGATTCTGCTGATGATTATTAAAAAATTACTGGAACAGCACATCAGCAGAGAACTGCCTGAAGTGCAGGGTGGTTTTAGAAGAGGCCGTGGCATTGGGGATATTATAGCTAATGTCAGATGGATCTAAAAGTAGAGAATACCAGAAGAATGTCTATCTGGGTTTCATTGATGATGCAAAGGCATTTGACTGTGTGGATCAAAACAAACTGTGGCTGACTTTGAGAAGAATGGGAATCCTAGAACACTTGATTGTGCTTATACAAAACTTATACTTGGAACAGGAGGCAGTTGTGAGAATAGAGTAAGTAAACACTGCATGGTTCAAAATTGGGAAGGGTGTGTGCCAAGGATGTGTCATCTCTATATCTTTTCAATCTATATGCAGAATAGATTATATGGGAGACTGGGTTGTATGAGGAGAAGAGTGGCATCAGAGGAAGATTCATCAACAATATATGTTATGCAGATGATACAACCCTGCTGGCTGAAACAGAGGAGAACCTGAAGCATTTGATGAGGAGATCGGGGACTGCAGCCTTCAATCTGGACTGAAGCTCAACATCCAGAAAACAAAGATTCACACCACTGGACCGATTGGCAGCATCATGATAGATGATGAAGAGATTGAGATTGTTAACAGCTTCAGTTTGCTTCGTTCTACAAACACTCTTGGTACCAGCAGACAGTAAACTAAAAGGCAAATTGCATTGGGAAAGTCTGCTGTCAGAGACCTCTCCAAAATGCTGAATTCAGAACAGTGATGTCAGTCTGGAGACTAAGGTGCGCCTGATACAGACCATGGTATTTGCAATTACTTGCTATGTGTCAGAGAGCTGGACAATGATGAGGGATAATAGAAAGAGAGT